TGTGGCCACTCAGGCCGACAAGATGATGGACGCAGTAGTTTGGTTAAGAAGTAGGGCGTCGCTCGTGTAATCGCGGGGACGTCGTGGAATGTCGAGTCCGAGCCGAAGGAGCGGGCGACGTCGCGGGTCGTGTTCAAGAAAAGTGAACTGGCAAGAGCTCGACCTGGCAAAGCTTGGACAGGCCGACAAGGCTCACTCGGTCATGGCAAGAGGTGGCGCATGGAAGCGACCCCGTAAACTCCAAGTTGACTCGGCTGCAATGGACTATGCGGACTGACGTATAGAGAGAGGTAGCTTGTTAGGTGGGTAGTCACAGCGAGGCACAACAGGTTGGACGCTAGGTACCTCTGATGATCGGATTTGTTGACCTATGACTGCGCGATACGGCGGGGGGCCAAGTTAGGCAAGTGCAGCCGTGGGAGGTTCGCCGGTGCCAGGACAGAGGATGCTATTCTCGGACGCGGAGAAAGTTGTTGAACGATGGTTCGGGAGCTGCGCGGCGGGCGACGGAATCTTTTGACGGGGCAAATGAAGGGCGTCGGTATCGGACTGGACAGAGAGTGGGATGCGGCGCGGGGCAAATGGCCGAAAACCGTGGACATGCGTCGCAACGAAGACGGCGATGATGGGAGTTGAGTTCTGGTGACGACAGAGCAACTGAAGACGGAGCAAAGCCAAAGGCGACCGGGCCTGTCTGTCGTTCAAAGCTTCCAGAGTCCCCGTCGCGGGTTGGAGTTTCCAAAGTCGCAATCGGTCAGGCACCTACAGGTATGTACGGACAGGTACTGGTAGAGGTACCTTCAATTCAGTACCATAGGTAACAGCAGTCACAACACGATCAAGTTCATGCCATTTTACCAGAGGAGCTAGAGGTAATATATATCGTGGAAATAGAGAATGACCAATGGACTGGATTGTCCGGATTACAATAAATCACTGCAATGCATTGCACTGCAGCATAACCTGAAATATAAAAAAAAAATCAGGATCCGGCCAGAGCTGGAGGTCCGGACTTGGTACATGTAGACGTGTAGCTACGGACGCGGGTCAGATGTACCACCTTTTTACTGTACCGCGTTGCGACCTGCGACAAATATTATGGTACGGACCTGGGTCACTGCTTGCCTGCCCTCGACAACCCTTGTTGCTTGCGTGGGTGCAGTGCAGGAGCACCTGAAAGCCAAGAACCGTCGTCGAGCCAGTGCCGGAGTTTTGCCGCGCCGAACTGCGATGTCAAGTCTTTTTGAAGGTTCGGTCTTGGCATGCGCTCGGGGCACTAAGGGCAGTGTCCACCGTTCTGGGTCATCAGCGGGTCATGCGCGCCCTCGACCGATTCGACTGTTTGATTGGTCATGGTTCTCACTGCACGTGGCCCCGCAATTCCATCCTCCAAGCTGCCGACAATGTCGTCACACGGCGGTGAGCTCGGTGTTGAAACCGACCGATATCAACAAGGTCTCGAGGTCAAGATAACAAAATTGGCAGGCCTTTACACCAAGTGTTTACAACTACTACTGCGTAAGGAAAACTACGACTTCTAGAAGCCAAAGAAACAGAACACACTCCCAATGTGGTTATGCCGTGCCATCGTTTCTCTCAAAACAAGTAATCATGTGTACCATGATGATATGAAGAGTGTGACATCAAACTAAAGCATCCCAGGCTAATTCCTACATTGGGAATACATACCCAGAACTCAAACATCCCAATTAGCACAAAGATAAGACGGCCCGGCTATAAAGTGAAAAAAAAAAAAAACACCATGGCTTGTTATCCCTGAATGACCACCAAACGCCAACCGAGAACACTCTCGATGCCCAGATAATAATAGAGAAATGTGTATGACATCATGTTCAATGTTTACCCCTCTTGTCCCTTCGCTTCCTTCTTGCGTGGGCTTTCAACGTCTCCTCATCCATGATATCTTGTGGAAGCGCGAATTCTCGTTCATCGCCATCGGGCACCGGCTGCCCCCACGCCAGCACGTTTCTGCCCCTTCGCCTGTTCTTGTTGAGCGCCGCATCTCGCTGGTATGGCTTCTTGAAGAACGAGGTAAACTCTCTGTATGGTTCGGGCTCTGGCTCGGGCGGTGGCGGAGGGGGGATTGGACGTTTGCCCTTTTTAGACGGCTTCTTCTTGGCCGCGGCGATTGCCTCTTCACGAAGCTGCTTTGCAATGGACGCGTCGACGTCGCTCTCGTCTGGTGGATCGCCGTCAGATTCGCCCGTGTCTTGTTCTTGATCCTCCATTTCCTCATCACTGTCAGCAATAACCCTATGCTTGGCCGCATCTTCATCTTTTCGATGATCCTTAAGTTCAACTTTATGCTTTGCATCCTCGTGCTTACGCTTTCCGTTCTTCCCTCCGCCCTGCGGCTTGTTGACCTTTCCCCCCTTGCCGCCCTTTCCGCCCTTGCCGCCGCTCTCGGCATTGCTTGTCCGGTCCTTTTTCCGTTTTCTGCGCTTCTCTTCGGCCGCCCATCTCCGGAACTTTTCGAGGATGGCTTGGCAGCCTTTGATGAAGTGCTCCCGGGCCGGCTCGAACTGCTTCTTACGACCTTCTGTGATCCCACTGACGCCCATTACCCGCAGCCAGTCATGACCTTGCAAGGCATCCAGCAGTCGAATGATTTGGTCTTTTTCATGTTGAGCCCGTCCCTTTTCCGAATTCCGTATTGAGCGTTCCAACCGTTCCGCCTTCTTGTGAGCTGTTTCGTAGAGGGAATCCGGCAACGGATCGTCCTTCAAGGCTGCTTTTCCTTTGTGTTGGGTTTCCAAAAAGCTAAAGTTGATTGTCTGGGAATCGTAGAGATCGGTAAACAGGGCATCGCCGTAGCCTCGGATAGGATAAGATTCGATTGGACGAGGCCGGAAGCCATGGGTGCTTCCAATAACAATGGGGGTGTCGAGATTGAGGAGGTCTATCAGAGAAGGAAGCAATTGACGTTAGTGATTGCTTGGGGGGGCCCATGCTGACGACCGGTGTATCCAAGACCGATCGCCCAGGGCTGGAAGGGGGGGGGGGCAAAAGGGGGTGGGTAGTGTTTGTGACTTACGCTGCTCCTTGGGGTCATTGCCGATTACCTCATCATAGTCGGGAAAGTAGGCGGCCAACTCGCTCTTGAAGCGAGTGCCTTCCTGCGATCGTAATTTGCGACCGCCCTCCTTGATGGTATCGGCAGCATTGGGGTTCAGCCTGCTCAATTCATGCTTCAAGCCATTGACAACCTTTTCCTGGTGCCGTGTAAGGCCCGAGGCTTGTTTTGTGGCGGTTGTGCTGGGTTTTGCAGCAGTGGTAGGAGGGGCACGCGAGGGATTGGGGGGCTTTGGTGCCGCAGTGACAGTGACGACAGGCTTCGGGTTAGGGGCTGTAGGCGTCGGGGGCTTCGCGTCGCGCGAGGAATCAACTGAAGCCGATTGACGAAATGACGGGCGAGCAGGTATCTCGACGGCAAACTCGTATCGAGCCTTTTTGGGAGGCACGGGATCACATTCTCGGGGCTCGAGGGATCGCTTGTTGCGTTGGGGGACGGTGGTGGCAGTGTTTGGCGGCTTGATGGGGGATGGGGATTGTTCGGCGGAGGTCGCGTTCGCGAGCGGGTGTTGGTTGTGGTTCTGCGGTGACGAGTGCGACCGGTAGGTGACAGTGTTGCTCGAATGCGGATGACGCAGACCTTCAGCTCGTCTCGAGCGGGTCACGGATGTGCTCGTAGCCATTTGAGAGCAAGCCCTTCATGGTGCGAACAACGTGTGCCGCGATACTGGTCGAGGTTGCAGAGTGTGTGCACAATTGATTTTGGTCCTGGCCGAGTTCAGTTCGTTGTGGTTGAATAAGTTTGCTGTGGCCAGCTGCACCTCTGCTCTTGCCCGCGGGCTTTGCTCTTTTTTTTTTTTTTTTTTTTTTTTTTTTTGACCCGGATCGGGTCGAGTGAACCATGGGCGGGCAGCACAGCCGCCTGGATGGGAAGAGTGAGTGGAAGATGCACTGTCCGTTTGTGTCCCTCCCGTCTTTCTTGGTGTCGGGTGGTGCATTTGTTGGCTGGGCGGGTGATCATTGCCCGTAGCCAGCCCTGAAATATAGGGCAGGTTTTACGGGGGGGCGCGGTGGGCATCACAGCCCGGCGTTCGGCGGTCCCGACACAGGGCAGGGCAGAGCAACAACGGAACCTAACCTACCTACCCGGGGGCTTCAAGGTCCAGTTTTGCACTTGCCCCTTTCACCTCACCTCACTGCAGGTTACCTCAGTAGGTCTCCCTACATCCAAAGTGGCGAGGTGCAGCTCGTTCATCCCGTCTTGATGCTGTCTCCGTCATTTTCGTTGCTCGATTGGCATTCGCACACCCACCTGTATCTGCTCATCCATCTCGTCGGTCATGAAGCTTCCACTTCCACTCGAAGCGGTGACGAGGCTCTTTGCCGAGTATTGGCTTTTACCGTAATTCAATTCGGGCAGACCGACTTGGCTTCTTGGACTGAACGGCTCATAAATGACTGGAAGTCATGCCGCTCACTGCGCGATCTTTCCTCCTTTTCAGCTCCAGTTCCCTGCCAAGTGGCAGTCAATGGCATGGGAACAATACCTTACGGCTCTCGATAATTAGTGCACACGGCACACTGATCATCCACTAGGTGTCGTCTCCAGTGGCCCACCATCACCACGAGGAAACATGCAGGAAGCCAAGTGGAACACGATAGGAGTTAGTGATCCACCTCCTGCATCCGGGTCGAACCAACTTATCAGTAGGTACCGTGCTATCGGTAGGTATTAGGAGTTCGACAACCAACACCTTCCGTTCTCAAAGGAAGTGGTGAAAGCCGTAGTTTCCACATCACGAATCTATTATGACCAAACTCTTGTAATTCACTCCACCAAGATATGAAAGATACACTGGTTGTAACACACATTCCACACATCGACTTTTATCGTATCATATCATATGCTGCTCGCACTCATGAACATAGGTAAGGAGCAAAAGGCCATCCTCGGGCAACTTCCAAATATGGAAGGCGAGCAGAAGACTAACACCAGCCGGAATACCACCGTAAGCACTACAAAACACATCCGTCGTGTCGAATACGACGCGCCGCTTATGCCTGCTCAGCAATGTAATATAAAGAAGCCCACAGGCCCTTGAACTGGTGGTATTCATCTTCTCTTTTGTTACCATTGTCTGCCATGTTAGATTGTTGGCGATGAGCATGTCCAACTTCACTGACCATGAGATGGTGATCCTCGCTGATGCCAAAGAACTAGAAACTTGGCTTTGGTCAGTTCGCTATGCCACCTCAGCCTTGTTCATCGTCTTGCTCCCTGGGCGGCTGTATCAACTTCAAAAACGGCCAGTCAGTGTCAGCTCCAACTGGCGTCTGTACCTCAAACTGGTATATCCTCTATGCAAAGGGTTTTTCTCAAACTAGGGAATGGCACATAATACTTACACCTTCATCAGGTCATAACCACCTTGTTCTTCACCCAGCAACTTGTCACCGGCTATGTCTTTATCTCGGGATCCGCGGTCGCGAGTCCGGTTCTAGTAGCGCTGCTTCCGGCCGCTTCACTGGGCCTTGTCATCCTCTCTCATTCAGAGCACCGGAGATCTGTTAAGCCATCAAGCCTGATCCTCCTCTACCTCTTGACTTCTTGTCTTTTCGACTTGGTACAGCTTACAATACCTTCTCTACGCCATCTTGATAACCACGATGACCGCCTTATCATCGGATGGCAGCTGGCAGTCAAGATTTTAGTCGTCTACGTCGAGTGTCTGGCGAAAGAAAGCGTTGTGGACGAAGAAGAAGAAAGCGGCCATGGCTCGCTAGAGGAGCGAGCAAGCTTTCTCAGCAGGGCTTTCGTCTCTTGGATTAGTCCCGTCCTCAAGGAAGGCTACAGAATGGTTCTCGTGAATGAGAAGCTCCCAAGCGTCGACCATGAATTGGCGTCTGGAAATCTTCGAGCGTCGATTCTGCGAACGCTCTCCGAGTACTGTAAGTACGAGCCGTGGATCTGATCATAAATCAAAGATGCTAATAGTCTCTCAGCTTCATCTCCATTAGCGTTGGTACTATTCAGATGTCTTCGTGCTCCCTTTCTAACAGTCATTGTCCCGCGACTTTTCGTCATCGGCTTTCGGTATGGCCAGCCGGTATTGATTCGCTACGCCATCGAATATGTACAGTCTCCTGAAACAAACGAGGATCAAGGTTATACACTAGTGTCCGTTGCCGCCATCGTCTACATTGGTCTCGCAGTAAGTCGAGGTATCGTCCCTTCACCTGTGTAGCTGACACTAACTTTACTTGTAGCTATCAACGAGGGCATACCAGCAGGGCTTAAATCGATTGCAGGTCATGATTCGAGGTGCCCTGCTTGGGTTGGTTCACGAACACTCGTTGCTCGCTCGTCATGAGCCGTACAGCAAAGGGAAAACAGTGGCAATTGCATCAACAGACGTGAGTGCCCTTGAAGGTGCCCCAAGAATGCTACATGAATCTTGGGCCTTGTTGGTTGAGGTAGTCATTGGAAGCGTCCTGCTGGCTAAGCAAGTTGGATGGCTATGGCCGGTGCCTCATGTTATCATTATTGGTAAGTCTCCAAATCTAGAGTAAGGTGTAAAGAGGTAGTGGTGCGCGTTACTCACCTCCTTGTGACAGTATGCTCTCGAGTTAGCAGATACGTCGCACGCAACCTCAAAAGCAGCCAGGCTACGTGGAATACTGCAACACAAGGACGGATCTCCGCGACTTCTACGATGTTGGGCTCCATTAAGACCATCAAAATGCTGGGCCTTCAAAGCATCGTTGAGAAACACATCCTGGGATTGAGACAAGAGGAGCTTGATAAGGCGAAACAGGTGCGCTGGATCATGGCCATATACAATGCGAGTGGTATGTCCTCAAAAACCAGTTCACCCCTCCAGTCCACAATCGGGTCTTTATTCCCTTATCCTTTTGCTTTTGCTTTTTTTTTTTTTTCTAACGATTCATCAGCCAACGCCCTGGGCATGTTTGCTCCAGTCATCACTATTGTCCTCTTCGCCATTATCGCCATGGCGAACGGGACCACTCTCGACACCAAAACAGCCTTCCCGACAATCGCAACCCTTGCCTTAGTAACGCATTCAGCAAACATGGTCATGACCATTGTTCCCCAAGCGATAGCGGCCTACGCGAGCTTCGACAGAATTGAGGATTACATCAAGTCCATAAAGGCAGTCAGCCGCTCACCGCGCCCTGGACAGCTAGCCGAAGGGATCGAGGTATCAATCCGCGGCTTGACCGTAAAATGGACTCCTGAACAAAGCAACCCAACTTTGGAGGATGTCAACCTGGAGCTTTCACGAGGTATGGTGGTTGCATGCCTGGGACCAGTCGGTTCGGGAAAGACGAGTTTGGCTAGGGCGATCCTGGGAGAAGTGCCACTGGTAAAGGGCACAGTCACATATGCTACCGACAGAATCGCGTATTGTTCACAAGTCCCGTGGCTTCCCAATCGGACCATAAAGCAAGTCATTCGTGGGTCAATGGCAAGATACGGCGATATTGGTAACGATTGGTATCTGGCCGTTGTTCGGGCATGCTGCCTCGACCAGGATCTGGCTGTCCTTCCTGACGGTGATGAGACCATGGTGGGGGTTGACGGTATGAATTTGTCTGGTGGCCAGCGACAGCGCGTGGTAAGAACAACGAGATGAGAAGAAACTCCGAGTGATGATGGCTGATCTTTGGCAAATATACTATACACAGGCTCTTGCGCGTGCCGTCTACCATCGCTGTAAGATGGTGGTACTTGATGATCCGTTCAGCGCGCTTGATGGAAAGACTAGAGATCAGGTTACTCAAAATCTACTTGGACCGAAAGGGCTTTTCCGACAGCTAAATGCTGCAGTGTTCTGGATAACAAGCTCAAGTAAGTGGTCCATCACCTACTTGCACAGGTACGCTGGCTTCTGACGTGCCTCTCAGCCAAAAATGTAAATCTGAGTGACAATGTCATCATTCTCGAAAGACGCATCACAGAACAAGGTACTTGGGAAGAACTGAGGGACAAGCACCAACAGATTACCGATTGCTTCCGTGAGGATGCTTCGAATACTAGCGATAAGGAACAGTCAAAGCCATCCGTAGTGACCAAGACAAAGGCGCGAAGCTCACCGACATCGTCCACGGATGACCTCAGACGCTCACAAGGTGATCTGTCGCTATACTGTAGGTACTAACTCCTACCAGGAATCTCCAGGAGGCTAACAAAGCCACGTAGGGTACTACTTTTCTAATGCTGGACCTCTGAACATCCTGCTCATGGTAGCTTGTACGGCATCGTACTCCTTCTTCATCACCTTCCCCCAGTACTGGGTCAAATGGTGGACCCAAAATGACGAGCTCGATTCGGCCAGCAAGAGAGACACGGTCTACTACGCTCTAGGTTATGCCCTCCTATACCTGATGGCTTGGATATCCACGAACGGCACGATGTTGTCGACCGTCTTTCGAATTGCGCCAACCTCCGGGCTGAATCTTCATCGGAGCCTCGTGCACACCATCATGCATGCGCCCCTCTTCTTTTTCTCCATGGCAGACATGGGCGTTCTCCTGAACTACTTCAGCCAGGACATACAGCTCGTGGACAAGACGCTTGCGCAAGCCGTCATGTCCTTTGCCATTCAAGTGTGCAAGATGATTGTGCAAGCATCTCTACTCCTTGCTGCTCAGCCCATCATGGTCGTCACTCTTCCCGTCTGTGCCGCGGTCGTGTACGCAATCCAGAAGGTCTACCTGCGCACTTCGCGCCAGCTCCGACTCCTTGAACTGGAGAGTCGGGCGGCTGTGAATTCGTCTCTTTTGGAAACCGTCCAGGGTATCGAAACAATTCGGGCATTTGGCTGGCGAACCGAAGCGGCGATAGAAAACATTCATGTCGTCGACATAAGCCAGCGTCCCTTTTACCTGTTGCTTTGTCTTCAAAGGTGGCTTAATGTTGTTCTCGATCTTCTTATCGCTGGTGTGGCCGTCGGCACAATCTTTCTCGCAGTCAGCTTGAAGGGCACGGTGACAGGAGGCCAAATAGGCGTGGCCCTATCGGTCATTATTGCTGCCAATGCCACTCTCCTGAGCCTGGTTCAGTCGTGGACAAACCTGGAGATCTCCCTCGGTGCTGTTTCGCGGTTGAAGAGAGTGGAGGAAAATACACCACAAGAGCCGGTTTCTGTTCCCTGCCCTGGCCTCATCAGTCCAAACCACAGACCCTTTACCGGATGGCCCTCGCCTCAGTTCTATGACAGCACACCCGGACTAGTTCGGTTTGAAGGAGTCTTGGCATCATATACGAGCAATGGCCCTTTGGTACTCCAAGATCTCGATCTCGACATTGCCTCCGGCCAAGTGGTGGTCATTTGCGGACGGACAGGCAGCGGGAAAAGTTCCCTCCTCCTTGCGATGCTTCGTCTAATCAATATCCGCGACGGGACACTCCGCATCGGGAACAAGGATATTCGTCAGGCTCCTCTGCATATCATCCGTGAAAAAGCCTTCATCACAGTCACGCAGGACTCGTTCCACTTACCTGATGCATCTCTGCGCTTCAACCTTGACCCAACATGTCTATTTCCCAACGACGCCCTGATATCAGTCCTTCAAATCCTCGGGCTATGGATCCATCTCTCATCGTCCTCCTCAATCAATTATCCATATTCAGAGCATCCAGTCATCGACGAAACCAGCCCTCTTCTCAACACCACCACCCCCTCTCCAAGCCCTTCCTATCACCCCATCCTCGACACTCCCCTCTCCCTCCTCCCCACCCTCTCCACCGGCCACCTCCAACTCCTCTCCCTCTGCCGCGCCATCATCAAAGCCCGACACATGCACACCATACATGTAGCCCAAGCCGCCCCAGAGGAAGAAGAATACAGACGAGGAGACACAACTACCAATCCAGACGTTTGCTCATCTGCTTCTTCTACTACCGACCCGGGCTTTCGTAAACCGGACGACATCATGAAGCCGATTATTTTGCTGGATGAAATCACGGCTTCGTTGGATGAGAAGACGGAGCAAATGGTGCTTAGGGTCGTAAGGGAGGAGTTTGTGCAAAACAAGTATACGGTCTTGATGGTTACGCATCGGGTGGAGGCGGTAAGGGGTGCTTTGTTAGGGGGGAGGTCAAGGTGGGTGGAGGAGGATTTGGTGGTGAGTATGGAGGGGGGAAAGATAGTGGGGGTTGAGAAGGTGGGTGGGCGACGCTGACGGCGTTAGTTAGAAGCTAACTTGAGGGAGGTTGAGGGTAGGGAGGAGGAAGTATCCGTGTTCTCTCTCTTAGAGATGGGGTGCTGAGAGGGAGCCTTGAGAGGTGGAAGGGGAAGGGATCCGTCCCGTGGAGGAATGCGACGCTGAATAATTTTGAAAAAAGGCGTGGGTTATCTTCATCCGAGAAAGATACAGTCAAGAGATGTTCAAAGAGCTGCGTCGATACCTATTAATTACATGGATTCCATTTCTGCCCTCTCAGTCGTTCTTACTCAGATACGACGGCAAGTCTTTTTTTTGTTAGAAAGTAAGAAGGGCAAGTTCCCTTCCTATTGTCGCATCAAGCAAATAAATGGATCTGGTGCCATCGCCCGGCATCACTGACATAGATTTAGTTTTCATGTCGTCTTTTTCTTTTCGGGCTGGCCTGGAGGTAGGTCAAGTTTTTATGTTTGGAGAAACTCGCATGTTTTAGTGGATTATCGGTTCCATCTATTTACTAATCGATCTCCCTCTGTGTCTTTTTCTTACGGACTTTCGAGAGATCGAGTGACCTGACCACCCAGTCCTTCGCCACCATGTCCAACAACACCACCTTAACAATATTGAAACCAAGGACACCAACTACCCTATCTGCTGCCATACTTACAGCTACATCCACCTCTGCCCCCAGCAGCAACAATGGTCCAAACACTATCTACTACGACGGAAGTGGACGTTGGGTGTGCGGTTATGTGGTTAAATACTCGACAGAACAACCTCATCGTTCGTATCATGATTACCTAGGAATCATGTAGAAGGAAGCTATGTGTACCCGGATATATAGTGACTGATGATTTAGAAAGAAGGCTAAATACAAACTGACTATATTGACCCCACACGTTGGAGGTGATCTGTTTGTTTGACTTTCTTCGGCAAAAAACATTACAAATGAGGATTGTGGTATTGAGTGGTGACTGTGGGTGTTTTTCAGGTCTTGCAGCTCTTTTATTTTCTTTGGGGCCCAAAGTTTGCTACGTAATAATGCATGCACGGAAACATACTATTACTAATGTAATCGGGTCTGATTATGAGTTATTAGGTATCTATCATAGGCGGCATAGGAAACAGCGCGACGGGAGGTGCAATCTTCTCTTTTTTTTTTCTTTCTTTGTTGTTGAGTCCGTAACCATAATGACAAACCCGAAGGGAAAAACACTCACTCCTGATAAGTAAAACTAACACTACTTCTTTCGCCCAAACCAATGTGTGGTAGTTGATCATCCACCTATAGCATCACAAGAAGTTGGATTTTTTGATTTTTTTTTTCTTTTTTCTATAGTATTTGAAAGATCAGATGGAAGAAAGGAATTCCCATGCGGGGGAGGCTTTGCTACACTACCCAAGAGCAGTGGCAGAGGGGAGAGAGCGAAGCGGCCAGGATCAGTACTGCTAAGTATATAGACCCACCTAGACAAGCAAACCATCAACAGTAACAGGGATTGTAGTATAGTGGTCAGTACTTCTCGTTGTGGTTTCTCACAGCGATCCGAGAGGACCCAGGTTCGATTCCTGGCAATCCCATCTTTTTGCGCTTTTGGATTCCTCACAGTCGTCTTTATTCTTTTGCTTGATGTTCTGCGAAAAGATTTGCTTTTTAAAATCTTTGAATTCAAGAAATAGATCGCTCACAAATCCAGAAAGTCATATTTGGAAGTCTGCGAGAGAGAATAGTGGTGTTGGTTGTATTTCATGCTATCTTGCTGTGACTCGAGATGAAAGGAACTGAATGCCGGGTAGCGATGACGATGAACACGCGAATGATACAAGAGGTAGAGGAAAGAATCAGCGTTAGCATCCTTTGGGCCATACAATCTCGTTGAAAGACAATCACAGTGAACAGACAGAATTGATAGTCATAGACAGCATTGTCCTCGTTCCCGAACAGCACCTTAACATTACACCACCGCCAACCTGTCCAAAAGACCATCTTTCCCCTGATGCTTGTAACTAAGAGTTAGGTATAATATATACGTACGATGGATAGTACATTGAGCAGGTGTTTGTTCAAACCTGCGTTGGTATGTTATACAATGCTTTTGCGCATTTCTCTCCCTCCTCCAAACCTTTTTGAAACGCGTGCACGCCCTCCCAAGAAAACCCTATATACAAGTATTGTCCAAGAAAATAACAATGTATAAAGGTCCTGTTCTTGGACGGAGAAGAGAAATGTTAGCCCCCAATGCTATGCAATCAGAATCCAAAAAATATAATGCTTGCTTCCCCCTTCACCCAAAGGGCCAAAAAAAAGGCGTTATCTCAAAACACCACCCTACCCAACCCCATCTGTATCCCCCTTTCCCATCCTTCCCTCAACTTTCTATAGTCATAGCCATGGTCACCTTTATACCTCTTCCTTTGCCTTACTGCTGCTGCTGTTGTTGTTGTTGCTGTTCCTTTCTCATCACAAACAAGTTCAGTCTCCTAAGCCCTGACTTCCGTAGCGCCCGCAAAGCTCTTGAACCGCTCGTTAAAGACCTTGACCCTCTCCTCCTCCATCATCTTCTGCAGCTTTCTGGTCTGGCGAACCGCCTCCTCACGTTCTTCCTGGAGAGTCATGACCTCAATCTGGGCCATGTTCATGCGACTGACGACTTCCTGCATTTCCGAGTCGGCAGCCATCAGGGCGCCTTCGAGCTGGGCGACGCGGGCTTTGAGCGTAGTCACGTCCTCGGCCATGTTGCCCTCGGCGGCAGCCGATGAAAGAATTCCAGAGGCCCGCGGCCGAAGGTAGGTCGAGGCATGCGAGTTAGAATAAAAGGAAGAAGATGATGAAAGTAAAAAAGGGCTCGACATGCGAGTGGTACGGGGAGTGGCATCGCTCTTACTCGCCAGGCTCATGCTGAACATGGGGCTGAGGGGAGACTTGGGCGGGAATGAGCGCGGGGGAAGACCACGCATGGCGGCTGCCGAGCCCGCAGGCCCATCGCGCAGACGCAGGAGGTGGATGCTATGACTCTCCTTAAGCGTCTGCAGCTCTTCCTCATGGCGGTTCACGCGCTCTTCAGCATTGGTTTGCGCGGTAATCACCTGTTCCTCAAGCTCCCTTAGGCGCTTCTGGAGACTGGCAATGCGCTCCGTGCTTACGCGCTGGTTGGCCTCACCGCGGGCAACGGTATCGGCCAGCCTCGAGCGGAGTGCAGCGTTGATGGCAAGCTGAGCGCGCACTTGCTGTGCGAGTTCCTCGACACGCCGGGCCGAGTCAGACAGTTGCTCAGCTAGAGTGAGCTCGGCGTCAATGTGTTGCTTTTCGGACTCTCGGAGGGATTCGAGCTCGGCAAGCTGGGCAACGTTATCCTCACGAGCCATGTCACGCTCCGTCACAACAGTCGAGAGAGATTGCTCAAGGCGAGCAATGGCGAGCTGCATTGCCTCGTTGGATGCAGTGCTGTCCTCGAGGTCCTTGATACGGACGAGAGCTTCACTGTAGGTGGCTTGCAAGTCTGCATAAGCCTTCTCCAGGGACGCTGACGACACCGGAACAAGAGCGTCATTGTCGCTGTAATTGGACATGTAGCTGCTACGGGCGAAGCCCTCGGGAATAAGTATGTCTCTTTCCCTGAGAAGGCTGCGCAGGGAGGTGATTTCCTGCTCGGCGCGGTCAAGGTTCATCTTGAGGCCACCCAGACCCTTCTCGACCTCCCACTTCTGGTCAATGGCTTCCTCAGCCCGGCGACGCAGGACGGCGATCTCATCGCGAAGGTTGGCCACCTCCTTTTCGTATCCACCACGAGGGGAAGACGAGAGAAGACGGTCACGCTCCTGCTCGAGAAGCTTGATTCTCTTGGCGTTCTCGCGATTCTGGATCTCCTGTCTCTCAAGGAGACTGCGCAGAGCACGGTGCAATGCGTCGCGCTGTGCCTCGACGTCCTTTAGCCTGTCGGCCAGGATCTCACCACGAGGCTCAGCAGCAGCAGCAACAACATGGTGCTTTGTAGTGTTTGACCGGGCAAGGGACATGGGGCGGCCGGCTCTCTTAATAGAGCTGCTATTTGTGCCTGCAACTGATGTTGAACGGGAAAGGACCATCGACATGCGGGTTCCTGTCTCTTTGAGCTCGTTGTTCTCCGACTTCAAAGTGCGCAGTTCCTGCTCCAACTTGCGCAGCTCCGTGTTCTCAAAACGTAGCGCCTCGAGCTCCTGTTGCAGGTCGTCGATTTCTGCGCTTTCACTTCTCAATGACTGAAGTTCATTCTGCTGGCTGCTGAGCTGAGCGTTTGTAGACTTAAGCAGTTGAACCTCGTCGTGCAACTTGCTGCACTCGCTATGTTCGAGCTTGATGGCGTGAAGCTCCTCCTGCAACCTTACGACATTTGAGTCTCCTGACTTCAGTGCTTGGAGCTCCTCTTGCAGTCGATCGCATCCTGTGTGTTCAGCTCGGAACTGCTCAAACTCATCTCGCAGCTTAGCGAACTCCGTATTTCCGAGCTTGCCGCATTCCGCGTGTTCGGACTGAAGGTGTTCGTACTCGTCGCGGTACTTGCCAAGTTCGGCATTCTCAGCCTTCAGGAGATCGACCTCCTCCTGGATCTTACCAAGCTCCTCATTTTCCGTCTTGAGAGATTGTACTTCTTGCTCCAGCCTGGTCGCATCATAGGCGAGCTTGTCTCGCTCGTTTGACGTGTTTTCCAACTTGCCCTTGATGTCACCGAGGAGGTCTTCCAGGCTTTCCCTCGTCTGACGCTCTTCGGAGAGCTTTCGTCGCAAGTCGTCGCATGTGGCCTCGAGTTCCTTGATCCTGTCACTGGTTTCCTCGTTTTGTATTTTGGCAACATCAATCATCGAAGCCCTCTTTGAAAGTTCCTGGATCTGTTCGTCGAGGGCACGGCGCCTAATCCGCTCATCTTGCAGCTTGGTGGTAAGCTCAAGTCTGATTTGCGCTCGTTCCTGCTCCGCTTTGCGCTTGAGCACAGTAATTTCCTCCTTGGCTTGATCATAGTCGCTAAATTTTGATGAACTGT